ATTTCTTATTTCTGTTGGCTCCCTGGCCCTGCTGGCAGCACAGACAGCCCCTAATGTATGTGTTCCCTCCGTCCTTTGCCGTGGCCAAGCCTGAGATAACAGGAGTGAGAAGCCAAGTACCTGCCACCTTATGAAGACAGGGCTGTTAGGTATTAGCTGTAAATCAAAGGCTTGGCCATTGGGACAGCCTTTATCCCCAGTGAGTCTGTGCAATTGCTTTGGAGCCTGCTGAGAGATCTGGAAAAAGATGCTTTGATCCAGGAGGAAGATTTCTCCAGAGCGCAAGCAAGGAGGAATGAGGGGTGGCTAATCCCTTATTGAGGCTGTTCCCCAAATATGGATTAGGCTGTGTTTGATTATCAGGGGCTGTTTCAGAGGCCAATGGCTAAAGCAGATGTTTAAGGGACAATTGATGTATTATGAGCACTGTCTGCACTGGCCCCCTGATACCTGGTGCTTCAGTCACTTCAGCAACGCCAAGGAGCTCACTCCTGCTGGGGAATCAGATGAGGACAGGGAAGGAGGTGCTGTAATCAAATCTCTAACCCTTCTGCTGAATTAGGGGGTTTTGGGGACTCAGCAAATCCCTCAGAGACTGAGCCAGAACCAGCCTCGTAAAACCATCCCCTGCAAGAGGGCTTGGATGTCTTAATTATTTATTTGATAGGCTTAATCCTGGATGAGGCAAAGGCCTGCCAGAACCCTCCTGGAAATCAGGCCCATTCTTTTGCACATCCTTCCTTTTTCACTGGTGAATGTGACACTTGGCCGTGGTGTCACGGCTGCAGATGAACCCCCTCGTTGCTGACACAGGGAGTGGTGGCAGGAGCAGACCCCAGCCTCCCACCAGCTGGTCCCCCTTCCCTTCAGCCCAGGATGGAGAGGCAGCTGGTGGGGCTTGTGAGGGCATTTTTACCCTGGGAGCTGCCAATCAGTCCGAGATGAGGATATTTCAGATAGTTAGAACACCTTATAAGCCTGTGTTTAGCAGCTTTCCTGGGGCAGAGGGGTGGTGAGTAATATTCCCTCTTTTGCAGGTGGGAGTTTGGTGTAGGATGATGAACTGATTGATTCCAGTCCAGCATCCCAACCACGAGCCTACAATTCCTTCCCAGTTACCTGCTGAGTGTGTCGTGACTTTCTGGGTTAGATTTTAACTGCTCAGGATGCCAGAATTGCTGATGTTATTCCCACCTCTTTAGACCTTCCCTTTGCCTCTCCCTGCTATCCCAGCCGGTGTGGCGGCAGCATTAGAAGCAGAGTGAATTCATGTCCTCACCTCCTCTTTCATTCTGGAAAGTCGTTAACGCAAAATTGCCAAGCAGAGAAGCTCCAGAGAGTTTAACGTGGCTACTTTATATTGCTGCTAGGAGTGTCTGGAATTGAAAATAAACCTGTGCTTGCAACTCCTGACCCTTTCATCATAAATCCAAACTTCCTTACGTGTTTCTCTTTGCTGCAGAAGATGACTGTGTTTCTGTCTTTACAAAGGCCTGTGTGCAGCTGAGAGCCACAGCTGTGCAGAAGCCGGGTGGTGTTTATTTGTAGGGTTTTGCTTGCTGGCGTTTTTTTGGCAGATGATCCCCAGAGGAAATAACCCAAATACGTTAAATGAAAATAGTTTTCATGTGGCGTGTGGCTCGCTGGCCTCGCTCCTGTTCCTGGGGGAGGGCTGTCCACATGGCAAACCGCAGCTCTGGGGTTGCTGCTCTGGCACCCACCCAGCAGCACGTGAGTGGACATGGAATCCTGGAATGATTTGAGTTGAAAGTGACCTTAAAGATGACCAAGTGCAATTCCCCTGCCATGGGCAGGGACACCTTCCCTATCCCAGGTTGCTCCAAGCCCCGTCTAACCTGGCCTTGAACACTTCCAAGGATCCAGGAGCAGCTATAAGTTTTCTGGGCAACCTGTGCCTGGACCTCCCCACCCTCATCATAAGCAATTTCTTCTTTATATCTACTGTGACTCTACCTTCTTTTAGCTTAAAGACATCACCTCTTGTCCTTTTGATACAGACTCTACCAAAAATCTGTGCCAGTATTTCTTTGTAAGTCCTTCCTATAAGGATGTGCCCTTCTGTAAATAATATCAGGGAAATAGGATTAAATAAATAGGCTTAAATTAATTTTGTGTCTATATAGGGGAAAACCATAATATCAGCCCCATTAGAGGTAGGTGTGATCTCAGCTGGAGTTGGGTCCAGTCTGATGGAGGAGCAATTAACCTGGGGCAATTAGATTAATTCTCAACAGGTGGGAGATGAGCTGCAGATCAGCCACAGGTGGTTGTGCTTGATGCTGGGATCTCTGGCTCTATATCTTGTGAGTCTGTTAGAGACTCCTGCCTGAGACTGGAGGTTCTAGATCATGTAGGAAGGCAGCCAGATGATTCCCTGGGTCCTTTCTGGTCTCAAGTGCTTCAGCTGAAGTAGTTGGTTTTGGCTGTGCTGCGGGGAGGGAAGCGTGTGGGAGGCTGAGCTGCTCCAAGGAGAGTGCCTCTGACAGTGCCAGCTCTGCTTGATTTATATCATTTCACTGCTTGTCAGTGTAATTTCCTCTCGTTGGAGATGGAGCTTTGTACGCTGCACCCAAGGTAAGGCGTCTGCTGGCACCATTAAGCTTTTCATCCTCTCAGTGGGGAGAAAAGCTGTCTTGTTTTCCTTAAAAACTTTCTTCCCTTTCCCCTCTTTGTGCCACTTGGGAATTTTTTGCTTTCAGTCTGAAATGATTCTTTTCAGCTTGACAGACCATTAGAATGAGCACTTATGCAGTTTTATTATACCCTTGAAACACAAATTGTGCTAATTTGAGAGCTTAAGAGTTTCTGGTCAAATTGTGTCTGACTTGAAGACTTGGATTCTTCTCAGATCCTACATCCACAGCACAATTCAAGTTGGAAGGACATTAGGAGGCCTTTCAAGTATGATGCATCTTTCTATTAGATACTTAGGCTGTGTGGATCATCTGGAGTCCTTTTGCAACCAGCTCTGTGGGAAGGTGTATTTACTTCCTTGACATCTCTCCTTTCCTCTGCTGATTATGGATTTCTATCCTGACCTGTGTGACAAAGCTGGGATGCAGATTTATCTTAGACTTTGTGCTGGCATTGTGCACTATCAGCGTCCTGTCTGCTGCTGGTGGAGGCTGCTGATCTGCTCTGTAATTGCTCTTTGAGCCGGTGTTTTAGCTCTGAAAGGGCAGTCTCCACAAACACTAATGACTCTTGCAGGCCAGAGCTCAGGATAGCTGATCCTTACTAATGGCTCTTCGAATTCCTCATAGGTTTTATGTATTTATAAACACATTTAGGACACGTTATTCTTCCACTCAGTAAAAACCATCTGTAATTATTGCCTGTAATTGCTGGGTGAGGATAAAGTGAATCAGCTATCAGGCTTTTACTGCTGGTGAACTCAAGCATGGAACATCACAAATTCTAGCCATGTTTCCAGGAAGATGTGAGCTCACACAAAGAAAATTGTCATGGTCCTTTATTAAATCAAAATTAGACAACCTGCATAGTCAATTATTGCCCTCCTGGGCCTTAGTCCACCAAAACATTTTAAGTGGATGCTTAACTTCAGATCTGTGAGTGATCCCAGAGAAGTTAATAAAGTCCAACTGCTTTGGCAGTTGAGTGCTGGGATTTTTGGGGCTTCAGCTTTATTTGACTTGTTCTGTGGAGATGTGTAACTTGGATTAGCTTAACCTACTTTGGTGGTGCCTTAAGGTAAAAGAGGTGTCTGTACCACACTGCTGCTGTGCTTCTGTAATTCCCTGAAGCCCAAGGAAACACCCTCAGAAATATCCAGACACCACATGCATTCATGTGGGAGGATCCCAGTGGAGCATCCGCCTGATGACAATCCTGTGGAGTTCAAATGCAACAGGTTAAATTAGAGCTTAGGCAGCAGCATTAATAAACAGAGGCTCTCCTCTGGTTGTTGGGAGTTCATGGGTATCTCCAAAAAATGCTGGAAAGCTTCCCTAATAACTATGAAACCTTCCCTCCTCTCCAAAGAACTTGAGTGAATTGCAGTATCCCTGTAAGATGGATAATCATAGAAACATAGAATGGTTTGGGCTGGAAGGGACCTTAAAGACCATCTCATTCCATTCCCTGCCATGAGCAGGGACACCTTCCACAATCCCAGGTTGCTCCAATCTGGCCTTGGACACTTCCAGGGATGGGGCAGCCACAGCTTCTCTGGGCAACCTATGCCAGGGCCTCACCACCCTCACAGGGAAGAATTTCTTCCTAATATCCAATCTAACCTTCCTCTCTGTCAGTTTGAAGCCATTCACCCTTGTCCAAAATCCCTCTCCAGCTCTAAAGAGCCCCTTTAGGTACTGGAAGGGGCTCTAAGTTTATAGAGTTTAGTTCTTACGGTGGCCCCTACTGCAGATTTGGCCTGGGCTGACCATCTCTCTCCCAGACAATTCCTGGACATGCCTTGGAGGACTGTAATGTCCAAGATGTAGCATGAGCAATCCTACAGAGTTTGGAATTGGGAAGATTATTTAGATCTCATAGATGTGATTATTATATCGGGTCTCGGGCCCAGAGGGCAGGTCAGGGTCTCTTTTATTTGCCAGGGCAGATTTAGCTCAGTGGTTCTTATTCTGGATCCCATGGGAATAACGTGCATAATTTTTTTTGACAGAACTAGATATGTTTAAGGCATTTTCAGCAGATTTTGTCTTTGACTGCTGGGTCTTGACTGGTTGAACTGACTGGTAAAGCAGTAGGAAAAAGGCTTAAAGTAATGTATCCTGCTGGGCTGTCATTCAAGACAACCAAGTTTCCAGTTTTCCTTCTGCCTGTAACTCATCACACAACTTTGGACAAATTTTTTTCCACCTCTCTGTTTCTCCAGTCCTCGGGGGTTTGTCAGCTTGCTTAAATTACAGACCTGTTATGCAACGGGTGGACACTTCCCAAATGGCTAAAGAATGGGTGACTTCACTTGTTTACACCCTCTTTCTTTTTGTTTGCAGCTGTTAACAATCGATGACAATTTCTGTGGCCTGGACATGAATGCCCCCTTGGGAGTATCATCCATGGTGAGAGGGCTCCCCATTTTCACTGAGGACGGAGACAGGATGACATCCGTGATTGCCTACGTCTACAAGAACCACTCCCTGGCTTTTGTGGGCACCAAGAGTGGGAAGCTCAAAAAGGTAAGACCTGATGTGGTCCTCTAACTCCAGATTTTCATGTTCTTGAGGAGATTTGCTGCGTTGCATTGAGTGTGAGAACAGTTTTTATGCTAAGGTTTTCCTGTTTTGAGGTTAAAAAAATGTTTTTAGTTGGCAAAAAAACGTGTTTCGCCCTTGAGGGATAAAGAGAATCTGAGATAAGGATAAAAATCCTTCTTCCAAATTGTTGCTCATCAGAAAATGAACATTTCTGAAGTCAAACCGCACTTCCAGTCACAGACAGACTTGATGTAATTCACGTCCAGCAGAATTGTCTGTGCTCAGACCATCTCTAATTAAGCAGTTGGTCACAGGGTATCTGTGCATGCTGGAGGAAAACTGATTGTGGCTGAAGCTTAAGCAATGGGATTCATGCTCTGCAGATCTTTCAGTGTGACTGGGCTGTGATTTCACCACAAGTCCAGCATGGGATTAGTGGTTGCTCTGTTTGTGTCAGGCCTGGTGCTTGTGCTGAAGGAAGAGTGTTTTCATCAAAAGAAAGCTGTGTCTTGAAGGATAATGAGCTTTTATGTTTATGGTTGACGCCACATAATCTCAAATACAATAAAGAGTGTATTTATGTTCCTCCCTGTGTGTTCTCACTAGAAATATGCCCTTTGCATGGCAGTAGCTCTGCAGTTTGCTGTGTAAGGCAATAAAAGAGAGGCTTGAGAGGTGAAATCATCTACCTATGGTTTTCTCAAGGGAAGAAGAGGTGTTAAAAGTGACCTTCTCATGCTAATGATGGACCTTGCCTCCATTTGAACCTCTTTGTGCCAGTCTGACAATGTTTGTCTGAAAGCTCAGCCCAGGAGGGTTGTAAAATATTGTATGTGCAAGGAGACTGTGTGGCTTTGCCGTGATAATGGTGAGAGGCTGGGAAGGGAGGTTGGGCAGAGCCTTGGGGGTTGTGTTGGGTGTTGTTCTCTCTTTGAATCCCTTTTGCAAGTAAAGACTTCCAAGCTGGGGGAAGGAAGCTGCTTTGAGAAGGTGACCCACTGTGTCTTGTGCAGAGGATGGGCAGAGAGGACAAGGGGAAGGAAGGGAGTTGCTTGCTCATGGATGCTTAAGGAATGTCCAAAATCTCTGGTTTTATTCCTGTACCTGTTTCCCCACTTGAAAAGAAAACCAGGGTTGTAAATTCAGGTGGCATTTTCCCCATGTTGAGGAAGGGCTGCAAGGGGGATGGGATCCTGCCCACTGGCAAATGTCTCTGGCTTTGTTCAACAGAGGAAAGGCTGCTTGTGCTTTTGAAAAGAGAATATGTTGGTTTGTAGTTTTTTTTTTTTATTCAGGCACGTGGAAAAGGAGCCAAATTGTTTTTTTAAATGGTCATAATAAAAATAATCTCCTCCGCAACTAATTAGGTTTTGCTTCCCTGTCATCTGTGATATCACAATAAACTGTTCAGTTCTCCAGTCAGTCTCTTGTGGGGGGGAAATGGGGTGGCTGAGGCCTGAATCGTAAATATCCAAAAGACCTTAACAGTTAATGACTGCTGCCTCCCTGCACTCCCAAGCTTTTGGTTTTTCCTTTGGCTCCAGGAGAAGCAAACTCAACCACAGCTCTCTTTGCCTTTGCTGGTCACATTGCAGAATCTAAGATCTGATTCCTTTTTAATAGGGGAAAATAGGAGAGAAAGCTTTCCGTGCTTTAAGGAGTGTGGTGGGGAGCAGGGACAGCCTTATAGGGTAAAGAATGAGAAGAGGGGAGCTGAGGTGGCTGATGTAATTTGAGAAAGGGAATGAAATGAAGCTTTTTCCTCATGTGCTGAATATTCTGCCTGTGGTTGTTACTGCTGTGGGTGCATGAGTTGGAGCAGGGCTGGAGCCTTGGGCTGGGACCTTTTCTTGGATGAGTAAATCTCCACCAGAGAGGCAGAACACAAAGCAAAATGGGGCTCCCCTGAACGTGTGGTGTTATTTTGGACCACTAGATCCAGACTCCTGGAAACATTTAGTTCCTGCAGGTTCAGCCCTATCCTTGCTATGACTTGCACAATTATTGACTCTCCTCTACATATTGTCCTCCCCCAGTGCTCCTGAGAGTGTCTGAGCTCAGGACACCAGCCTGGATTCCCCTCTGGGTGCTACACAAGGCCAGTTTGGCACTCAGGATTTTCCCTGGATGCTCCTTGGCCCCTGTCAAGACTTTATGGCCCTTCTGATGCTTTGTTTTCCATCTTGGCTCATCCATCAGGTGGTGTTGAATAGGAAGCAAGGAAAATACTGCATTGAGATTGCAACTCCAGCATAATACATTACGTTGGCATGGTGTTTGTGTTCTGTTCAAAAACTAGCAGTAAATTACAATGAACTTTGTAGGATTATATGAAACTCCAGGTACCAGTGGACAAATCCCAGGAATTATCTTTTTTTTTCCTGCTGTTGGCTCCTACCAGGCATGGAATGTCCTGCTGCTTCTGGTACAGTGCAGCTACTCAGTCAAGCTGCAGTGGAACATTTTGGATAACATGAAAGAGGAGTCAGGAGATTATCTCCAAGATAGCAGGATTTACTCAGTGGTTGGAAGACTTTTGCTGCAAGATGGTTTGGGAGAAACTTTCCCTCTTTTCCCCCGTAGTTCCAGTATTTTTCTCTCTGTGTGTATTTTCCTAAGAAAGTGGCAGACCGCATATCTGATTTTGATTTACGTGATCCGTGAGTTCTCTGCAAAATACCCACAGTCATAAAGCAATATCTGTCAGTTGATACACAAATGTCACACGTGGCAGAGGAGTTTATCCAGTGGCACACACAGCTGAAGCAAAATATTGTGCTTTACGGGAGCATATCATTAAAATGAAAACTAGCAGCGTATCAGGAATCTGTCCATGTAACCAAGACAACAAAGGCAGAAAGAAAAGGGAAAAACTAAGATAGAGATAGGGCAGGGGAAGTGTGAGTGAAACCAAATGACACGCTTGGCCCCTGCGATTTCACTGCCCCAGGCAAAATGCATTTTGCAACCCTTGCTCATTCACAAAGCTGCCTGTGCAGCCCATCGGGAAGGCACTGAATAATGTGCTGGAGAAATATTCCCTCCAATTCTGCTGGCTTGTCCACAACACTGCCTGGGCCCTGCAGAATGAGGGAATAAATAGGATAAAAATGCAGAGCTACGGAAAAGAAAAATCCCCCCCCGTCCATATCTAATGCATGGAGGCCTCTGCCCTCGGATTAAAGGTTCCATGGATGGGGATGGAGATGGGTGGCCCAGGGAGGAGTGTGTTGGGAGACAACTGGGTTCAGTTCTTTGCTCTGCCAGAAACTCCTGGTGTGTCTTCACTCCTTGTTGTCTCTCCTGCAAATGGCAGGGAATATTTTGCTTGCTCAAAGATCATTTTAGAAGATTAATGTGTTAAGTGTTGTGAGGTGTACGATCATATCAAACAGCTTAACAAATGAGATGGAAAACCAGCTCCTGACCACTTGTGGGCATTAAAGATGTTGTGGTATTGTTTAATGAGAAATATTTAATCTCCCAGTGCTTTGGTTTGAACCCAGCATCTGTAATTACCTCCTGTGCTGGCTGGTCCATGGTGTTCCCAAGACCATGTCAGTAAGAATTGCCACAGCTTCATAATCCGGGTGCCTGATGGGCTTCCTTGGAAGTGGATTCCTATTTCCTTGAGTGTTTGGGACAACACCCATGGCTGATTCTCGCCCATGAGAATTTTTAGTGATTTCTTTCAGGAGGTACAAAAAACCCCACTTGAGTTTAACAAATGTCTGTTTTGTCTCCCTCCAAACAGCACAAGAGTTATTCCTGGATATGTCCTTCCTGCAAACAGCTCTGCTGTAAAACAGCCAGGTGCCAAAATCCACTGGCTTTTGATTTTTCCTCTGCTCAATCTCTCATTACATGCTTGGCTCTTCACTCCAGTGGCAGTAGAAAAGCAGAGATGTACCCATGGAGATGTTTTGCATGGTTTTTTATGCTTGGTTTGGATTTTTTTCCTGGTGTGTCTGGCCAAATCATGTGCCACTAATACCTGTCATCACGAAGGGAGCATAGCAGGATTCCATATTCCTTGCATTCCTTCTCTAGGCATTTAATTTATGGGTCACTGCTTTTGTGCAGATCATTTCCAGTCAAAGAAATACAACTTACCTGCAATTATTCTGTGTGTAGATGCAGGTGTAAAGGGCGAGTTGAGCTTACAAATGTCAACCTGGGAACAGCCCTAGGAATTGTACTTCCAACAAAACAAAGATCTTGGACCATTTTGAAATGTTTATTTGAAAATGGAGTAGCAGAAATTTCCATTTATTTGAAACTTCCCCAGAAGAAATAGGGTTTATTTATTCCATCCAAATATTTCACTCAAAGCCTTTTCTATGCTAAATTCCTTGCAGAGATAGAACCTTGGCTTAAAAACCAATACTTTCACTCTGTGGCCTGGATTTCATTTTTCATCAAATCCCATCAGTTTGCTGACTTTGAAGTGCTTTTTAGATTTGGACTTGCCATTGGGGGTGAGGGTTTTCACTCAGATCAGACAGCTCTGGAATCTGGCCAGCACTTCCAACAGGTATCAACTCCATTTAGTAGAAAATCCTCAGTACTGACCAGTTCCACGAGCAACCCTCTGGATTACCCTGAACCCTTGAGACCCTGCTTTCCTTGGATCCAGAGACAAAACACCACAGGGAGAATTTGAGATCTGAGAGCTTGGATTTGCAGTTCTTCTTTTGGCCCACGGTGGTGTTGGGGAAGGTTGGCTTTGTCCAATGCATAATTGGATTGGAAAGTACACGTGAGTCTGAGCTCCTGCAGGTTTCTGGATGTGGAGCTGGGGCTGCCCTGTCCCTGGCAGCTCTCCTGGTTGGATTTACAGTGCTGTTTATAGCCCACCTGTCTCAAAGGGGGAGTGGGAACTGCTGACAGGTAGGGATGGAGCCTGTAGGTTAGAGAAGATGCACCTTGGTGTGTGGTAGGGTGAGGACAACTTCAGCCAGGTAACCCTGAAGGGCACCCAA